AATAAAATTTAATTTGACCCAAAATTAAAGGATTCGGCCAAATTATCGTCGTCATCATCTGATCCTGGTAACAATATTTTTGAGAATTAGATAAAGTTACTCTTTTTTGGTGACATTTTATTTAGAAGCAATAAAAGAATAAAATATTTAATGAGATGAGTGTGAGTGCAAAAATTAGATGATTGGGTATGTAAGAGTATATATTATTTTTAATTTATTAATGATAAGGTTTATTTTTAAAGTTGATTACAAGAGTTTAGTTATTAAATAAAATTCTTGATTCATGTCTTATTTATAATAATTTCAGCTACATAAGCTTCTTTGTCTGCATTCTTGTACTTTTGTTTTAATAACCTTTTTATCTATTAAAAAGAAAGAATTCTTTATTTCCCTGTCACTTAATAAAAATGAACAATTCTCTATCCACCTCTTGCAAAATATTAATTCTTTACCTTTTACTAATAATAAATTTAATTCTTTATCATCTCTTACGAAAAATCAATTCTTTAAAGAAAAAGTATTTTAATTTAATAACGTCGCACGATTTTTATTGGACAACTATCACGTGAAAATCACGGGAGTGCACTTAGAGGGGGTGCACTTTGAGTATTTAAGAAAATCATTGTGACACAATAAAATTTAGTGAAGATATCACGTGAAAGTGTTTTACCAATGAAATTAGTACATAAAAATTTATTTTACTATATATACTCAAAGTTTTACAAAAATAGTGAAATTTTAAATTCTTGTAACTTTTGCTAGAAAGTTATGATAAAAAAATCTGGCTGCGCTACAACCAGGATCCGAATTATGAGGTAATACCCAAAATCTTATTGGACGATTGGGGACGTCACTGATATAAACGGACTAATTCATCGACAGCATCGTCGCGGCGTTCATCAACCACCTCAATTATTATAATCCGGGGACCTGGCACAATGGTGTTAAACAATATTGAACGGATATATGTATGGGTTGAAGAAAAACATTCATCAAGTGCCGATCGTCCGCATGACAATTCGTGGGGTGACGGGAATTTTTTTCATTAGAAAAAAAAAATTACCATTTGTCATTTATTCAATTACAATTTAATTCATTGTTAACAAATATAATTGTTGAATTAAGCAATACTAAAATTCATTGGTATTATTGGTTCCGAAAGAAAGACAGTTTCTTTTATTATTATGTATGAGTTTTTAAATCAACTGATTTTTCTAATACATGTGAACTATATTAAATTGTTAGAGAAATTTATATTGGTTACACCGGTTTATTATTACCTTCATTGCTGCCAATCATAATTATAATTATGTTGGCAAAGAAAATTCTAGATTACCACATGTATCAAAAAATAATTACGATAAATTAACAAGCCTAAATTATTATATGATTGTAATTATGTCGGAATTAATAATTGCTGTTTGGTAGGAATTATTAATTATTGAGTGAATAAAAAAAATTTGACAGAATTTATTGGTGCAATTTGATATTTAAAGTGGCGTTTTTAAAATGACGAAGTTATGATGATGTTTGTTTAGATGTTGATGTTTTATCAACAACATCATCAAAAAAAATAATACCATCATCTTTTCATATAAAACTCTCCCCCTACTATTATGCTTAATCACCTTATATAGTTAAAAAAAGAGAAATCTTTGTTTGTTTATATTTATTCATTGTAGAAAAGTCACTGTGCGCTAAGAAAAGTTTGAGATACATTTTTACTCTCGCACAAAAAAAATCGCACTAAAAAAATTCTTTTTCTCTTGTAAATCATTTTAGAATCAAAACCTGATTCTATTGTTCCCTTAACTTTATCACTTATAAATAATAAATAATATATGGTGCAATCAAAATAATTGCTATTTATATATTAATTATCTTATTTTCTATATGATGTATAGTTCCAAATATATTTACTATCTCTATTTTATAAAATAAATACTTATTATTTGTTTGATTGTTTTGTAAGGAAATTTTTTTTTTTAAATATAAATGATTTTTTTTCTACAAAATCACACAACTTTTTTATTAATCGTTTTTTTTTCACATAAAAAAAATATTGTCTATATATAATAATAATAATAATCATAATTCTAATATTATAAATAAATAAGAAGAAATTTGTTTTTTTTTTTTTTTTTATTTTTGAAAAATAAAAATAAAAAAAAAAGTACCATTTCATTCCCCCCACATTTTTAACATTAATATATAAATAATAAAAATTTATTTCCTTTCAATTTATTTTTTCAAATAAAAAAAAATTAACGTAATATTTCGTTTTTTATTTTTATTATTATTATTTTTCAAAAAATAATTAAAAATAAAATAACGAAAGTATTTTCCTTTTGAAAATTAATTTTGTAATATAATTGTACATATAATATATTAAAACAATTTATATTATTAATATATATAATATTAATACTTATTAATAATTAAATTTCTATAAAAAAAAAAAAACTAATATAAAAAAATCAAACTAATTATGACTATAATTAAAAATTCATTATAAAATAATCTCTCTCTTCCTTTTAATTTATTTTTATTCAAACAAACCTAAAACTCACAAACCAAATAATATTTAAAACAAACCTCAACCTCAAAAACTCCATATCATTTTCTAATTTCTTTAAAAAACTAAATTTCCATCCACAACCAAATTCATCACCATGATAGAAGATCATTATAACCCATGCGAACGTATCAATCAATTTATTGATGATGGTCAATTAGAAATAACGGATATTCTTGGCATAGGTGCTTACGGAATTGTTTACGCTGCAAAACATGTTACAACCGGAAAATCTTACGCAGTCAAATGCATAATTAAAGCAAATCTTGATGCAAGACAACAAAAATTTCAATATACCGAAATCAATTTGCACGCAAAATTATCTGGACATCCTAATATTATTAGATTGGAAAAAGTGATCGAGTCTGATGAAATGATTGACATTATACTTGAATATTGTAATGAAGGCGATTTGTTCTCGATAATAACAGAGAAAGGCGGTTACGTAGGAAATGATTATTTGATAAAGTCAGTTTTCATTCAAATACTTGACGCCGTGCTATTCAGTCATCGCCATGGTATTTATCACAGAGATCTTAAACCGGAAAATATACTCGTGTTTGATCAAGGAAAAACTATCAAGTTGGCAGATTTTGGTTTGGCTACCACCGAACTTTGTTCGAATGATTTCGGATGTGGTTCTACATTTTACATGAGTCCAGAGTGTCAAGGTGGATTTTATAAGAAATTACAAATTTATGAAACCGCACCAAATGATGTTTGGTCACTAGGAATCATTCTAATTAATTTGACATGTGGTCGCAATCCATGGAAACAAGCTAGTATACACGACGAAACATTTGCTGCTTTTATTAAAAATAAAGATTTCCTCAAGAAAATATTCCCGATTACCGACGAGCTCAATAGCATTTTACTGGACATTTTTGCTTTGGATCCAAAAAACCGAATTTCACTGTGTGAACTTCGGGATCGAATACTAAATTGTACCAGTTTTACTGTTACCAATAATAAATATCATGATGATGAGATCAATAAAGCAATTCAAGAGTTTGAAGATGAAGATGAAGAAGAATTGGAAGAAGAATATAATAAAGGAGGAGATGAGGAACTTAATATTGTGAGAACTAGTAGTGATGATGGTTATTATAACGAGGAGGAAGAAGATAACGGCAATGATAGTGATACCATGACATTACCAATATCTTCAAATTCATCAGATACTGCTTATTCTTGCTATTCATTTAGACAAATATCAAAGAAATCTTCATTTATTACATCATCTGAACCTAATGACAATGCCAATAACTACAACGACAATGATTATTACAATGATGATTACAACAACGGTGATAATGAACACGATTTTGATGACGACGACTGTGATGATGATTATGATCGATGTTCTGTCTCGACTGGTTCGTTTTCATCTTTATCAACGCTAGCAAACAGTAATCATAGCTTTGATAAATTACATAACAATATTAAAAACAATATCAAGATATCATTATTTAGTTTAACATCATATACTAGTGATACCGAAATATAATTGATTAATCGTGATTTTTTTCTAAATTAATTAATTTTTAATTTTTAATTTCTTTATTTAGGAAAGTTTAAATTTATTGTTTAAAAAAAAACACCAATTAATAAAAATGATAGATTAGAAAGAGAATATTAATAAATAAATAATAAATAATAATAATAGTAATAATAATAGATTTATAAAAACGTTATTGTTATTATATTATCATAATGTAATTATTTAATCGCTATTGTTTTTCTCGCTGGTGTTCTCCGGTTTCGACGATTTCAACCAAATCTCCAACTTTGATGATTATATCTAAATTAGAAAGAATAATAATAAATTAATTTTTAGAAAAAAAAAAAATATTTAAAATAAAATCAAAAAATTTTAAAATATTATTAATGATAATTAATATTAATTAATTTATACATTATATTTGCTAAATCTATTTTTTTACCTGTTTCACTATGAATTGCGTTCATTCCTATAAATTATTGAATATTTTTAAAAAAAAAACTTTTCCCCAATTATATTATTAATTTTATTATTATATTAATTGCCTACCAAAACAAGCATGATATTTTGCACCTTTATCGACTCTTCTATACGATTGTAAAGTTTTCAACGGTTCTAAAGCATTACGTTCCCCTGTATTGAAATTTACATTAGGAACTATCATTATATAAATAGATAAATGAATTAATAAATAAGTACATATATATATATTGTTTGGTATTAACATTATAAACAATCAAGATAAATCAAGTAATATATATTATACACACTCGTACAACGGGTACATCTGCTAATAATAAAAAATAAATGCCCTCCAATCAATATCTTCTTCCAAGTATCTTCTTCATAAGCCTTTTTACACCCTTTTACAACAATGTTTGGTCTGAAATTTCTTGTTTCAACAGGGTTCACCAAACGACTATTAAGATCTGACAATGATTCTTGTGTAATGATCAGAAACGGAGTTGCATCTGAAAAAGAAACCTGTTAATAAATAATTAAAATAATTAAATGGATTAATCAATTAATCATTATTAGGAAATAATTTATGTTTGTTTGTTTGTTTGTTTATTTGTTTATTTGTTTATTTATTTATTTGTTTGTGCGTGTGTTTTAATATAATGAATTACCATAATTGCGCATTGATAAAGTCAGGAAAGCATCAGGATAAATGATTGATTACCTCAAGATTATGATAAATTTTTACAAATTCATCTTTTGGCGGAAGATTTCTCCTAATATTTCTAATTTCATCAGGGTCTTTAAAACAAATTTTGGCTTTTATACCATCAACACCTTCGCTAACTAAAAAGCTATTAATCCAAATATTTGCTTCTTCTCCACAATCATATGCAGCAACATTATCCTCCCATACTTTAACTTGTAGTTTTGAATAATTCTTTTGACTTGGAAATTAATTTATTTAACGAATAATGAGAAATAATTATTATTGCAAATTTAATTAATGATTATTATAATTAATAATAATAATAATATTTACTTTGGATTAAGTTCTAATTCCAATTCTTTATTGTTTTTTACATTTTTAATTACAAGCAATCCTTCGCTTTCTTTAATAATTGGTTTCAATAGCGCAAGCTTTACTTGTAAAAGAAAATATAATTAGTTAATTATTAATAAATGAATCACATTCCGTTATATTCATTTTTTACCTTTGGTTCATTGCGTTGCGTAATAAACCTGTTATTTTCATCAACTATTATCCAAAACCTATCATACTTGAATCCATACTTGTTTACCTTTGATTCTTTTAATTCAATGCCTCTGCATGATTTTACTGGATGTATAAATATTGATGAAACTTCCATAATCTTTTTTTTTTGTCAAGATGCAAATGGGAGAAATTTTTTTTTTAATATTAATATATGAGTGTGCAACGATAACAATAATCCAATAACAACTCTAGAAAATATTACATTTGTATCCAACAACTACTTTAATATTAACAATGCTCTTGCGTTAAAATATTTTAATATAATAAAATTAAGCTGATGAATGATTTTTCAAAATTTGTTGAATTATGAAATCCAAGTTGGAGAGGAGGAGGACAATGTTAAAATTTTATAAAGTTCCTTCCACCATCTTGAGAGCAAGGAAGGTGGTATTTGTATTTTAGAGTAGCTCTACCTAATATAATGGATTTTAAAAAACTCTGGTAATGGGTAATATTTTATTTGAAAAAGAAATACTCTAAGGTTTTTGTTTAAATAATTGAATAAATTATATATTATTTATATTTTTAAAAAGGTATATATATGACAAGGGAGTCATCAATATTATAATGACCAGGGTTTAAATGAAAACTTTTTAAGTGTGTGATGAATTAAACTTTAATTGATGACTTGCAAAATTACTTAATGAAAAAATGAATTGGCTTCACCAAATTTAATCAATTGTTCAGTTTACTTGGTATTTCTATAATAAATTAAGAGAATTGTTATTCGCACCTCCCATTTTTGTTATTCGCACCCCTCCCGTGACTAAGACAAAGATGAACCAATAAAATCATCACATTTTAAAACCATTCATTGGTCACATTACAACAAATCCCTAAATTAATTTGTGAAAATCCAGGATCAAATTTAATCAATGCTTGTTTCTATATTGGAAAGTGATAATTTAAAATCAGAGATTGGTATTTGGAATCATGTTGGGGAAAATGTTTCAGTATGGAGTAAAGATGGTTTCAAAGAATTGAAAACTATATTAGAAGATATCAATGAAATATCTAAAGGCGATTTTTATAATAAGGTCATTCATTCCATGTAAATATTACTTTATTGATAATTGGCAACCAAGGTTACTTTTTTAAAAAGGTCCAAGACCAAGAATTAATCCCTAAGGTGGCTTTTCTAGAGCAGTTTTTAGAAATGCTACAGCAATGAACAAATTGTAGTATCAATGAAATTAAAGTTGATACAACAGAAGGTTAACATTTGTACTACAAAGGATTTCAGGGTTCATGATTTAGTAGCCTCTATTATGACCATGATAAAAAACTAGATTAAAGATATATTTTATGAAATCTTTGTTTTTATTTTATTATTGGCGTCAAAACAAAGGTAAATAATCTCATTTTGTGTTTGAAGATTATAAAAACATCAATTAATTCATTATTTTTAGGTAAAAAAAATGGTACTACAAAACATTACTACAATATTTTTTTATATCAATATAAAGATGCTTACTTTCAACAATGAACTTTTTTGCGGTTTGTTGATCGGACTTGTCCTTAGCTTCTTACTTTTATCATAAATCAAAAACTTGGCAAAATAGTCAATAAATAGAAAATCTATGGATTTCAAGCAATTTTTGATAAAAAAAGGCTGGGCTAAATCCAGACTTTCATTTAGCAAAAATGGCCATTGTAATTCGTGGATTATATGGAGAAGGAAAAGGAATTGCTGCTTCCACCATCAAAACAAAGAACAAAATCCTAGAAGAAAATCAATAGAATTGACTAAGAATGGATTAATAAAGAAAAGGACAAACAAATGGAGACGGAGATGGAGATAATGAAAACAATTAATGATCATCAAAAGGCATTCAATAGTAAAAGTCCGAACGCCCAAGGAATAGGTAACACCCTCAAATACAAGTGCTGTTTATCTTGTTTATCTATTGGTTGAATTTAAAAAAACTTTTGTTTCCTTAACTAGTCAAAATTATGCATAGTAATAGAAACTAATCGATCAATCAAACAAGTAAAATTTTTTTGTAAAAAACTTGTTTACGGGTTTGTCAAATTTTTTTACAAAAAAAAAAAGAACTAGAATATGCAAAAAAAAAAAAAAGAACTTGAAGAGTATAAAAAGTTAGAATGGGAGCTCGAGTTGAAGTGATATCTAGCTTTTTTGATGTTGACATACATCATAATCAGAATTATTTATTATCTTTTTTAATATGCATAGTAAATTTGTTATCAATCAATCAGGGAACCGCCAGGCTTCCCATTCACTTGACATCTCGTCATTTGTGGCCTTCGCAATTCTGCTCTGGCAGTAGGATTTCTAATAGAAATATATATAATAGTAAATTATTGGTATTTGTTTTTCATCACGTGTATTGGTGAGAAATTTATTCAAAGACGAGCGAGGAGATAAAATTTAATCCAGTTTCTAAACATGTAAGTAAATTGATAAACTACTACTGCTTAAAATGCTTTGTGCATTATTTTCAAATTATATGTTTTTTCGCTATCATTATTAATTTGGAAATTGAAGCAAAAGAAAAGGTCACATTTAATACTGAGTCATTAATATTTCCCTTTAACGATAGATATTAATACATATTAATAATTTCAAGAATTTAATCTAGAATCCTTGGTTGTCCAAATGAATTTCTTAATTTAGCTGATTATTTAATTTTCTGTTACACGCCATTTAGGTCATTTAGGTTATAAGTTGTCCCAGACCAAATTTACTTCTTTCTCTTTCACACTGCATTATTACTATAACTATAATTATTATTATTATAAATGATTTTTGATAGTACATACAGGATTTAAATACAAAAAAGGGAGCTCAATAATATTATATAGAGAGCCATTTTTGCATGAGTTTTTTATACATTTCCTACTTGATGATGTTAGATGATTAATGTTTAGCTCATATTCCTCTCTCGAATTTGTATTTTCTGTATTTTCTTTTGTGAATTTTTCTTTCCTCTTTTCAAGAAAACATTGGCAATTTTTATATATAATGTCGTTTGCAATGATTGCAGTAATTATTTAGAACGTTATAACTGAACTGGTTTAAAAAAAATTTTCGACATTTATACTTGCCGAACATAAGATTTTTTTATTCAAATGGTATTTGTTTTAGTAATGGTAATAATACGTTCTTTTGAATTTATGAAGTATAAGATGATGCGATGGCATTACAGGATCCCGAAGGGAAAATACTCTCAAATTTGGTAACAGGTCTTTTACTATAACAATTGACCAAGCTGTGTCGGTAATCTATTTATAGTTTCCGGGCCCTGGCATTACAGAAACTACAATCGAACGAAGAAGGTTCAATAAGCTTTTGAGGAAATTTCTGTATATTAATTCATTTTGTCAACTTACATATTTTAACAAAAGAATGATTACGATGGTTGTGACTAATTATATGAATTCAGAAGAGCTTGTTGACATTATTTCTGTCGCAACCATAGCTGATGACACAGCAAAGTTGCATTAGATCACTAAAATTGTATATGTGGAAGATACATTTTAGGAAGGTATATTGTTCCATCTTCTATACTCCAAGTTATTAAATAATAGAAATGCCAATGCAGGAAGAAGTCTTGGCAGAGGAGGAACCAAAAGACACTGTAAAATTCTTCAAGACAGCATCCAAGGAATAACAAGGCATGCAATTAGGTGATACTATTATTTTCATCATCCAAGTGTCTTTTTGGAATGATCACAACAAGCACAATATTTTTTGGGGGGGTGGTGAAATCTGTACTAAAACCAAAGGGAGACACATTACATACCTTCTACCCCTCCCAAGAGATATAAGTCTGTATTAGTTGTTTTTTGATTTTTCTTTCTCTCTTTTCTTCCGTTTTGGTAGTGTAAACAAGATTACCAAGATCAAAATAGTTTTAATAAACTGGTTTTTTCAGATATAAGAATATCGTTTGACTTTTTGGAATCCAAAGCGTGGAAATCTATATATTTACAAAAGAAAATCGAAGGAGCCAATAAATTATAGCGAGGTAAAACAAATCATTACTTGCCAACAACATAAGCATGTTATCTATGGTCGAAGTTGGTGATATGTGTTCATGAAGACAGCTATGAGTATTCTTCAAGTACCCACATGTCATGTAATAAATCAAGACAAAAAAACAACTTGAAGAAAAGTGATTGATGAGAAGGAAATCCAAGATGTTGATATAATAATAATAATCTTTGAATTATAATATTTCCAAAACTATAAAGTTTCGCAACTGGTTTTGGCTTTTGGCTTTTGATTTAGTTTTAGCATATAACTTTTAATTTTAGGTTTGACTTTTGTCTTTCCAAACTAGTTTAGGCGACTAGCACTAATGCATAAGTTTCTGTAAGTATAGTTGGAATAATTTTAGTGAAGAAATTGACCAGTTACCAGTTCATCACAAAGAAAAAAAGAAATGAATGTCAGATGCTATAATAATTAGTTTAAGGGCCAAGAAAAATAAAATATATAACTATTTTAATAGGGAAGAAAACATGGTATTTATACGTTATCGACCGTTTCTATGACAAATTATAAAAAAAAAGGAATTTTCGTTGCTTTACAAATACTCGGAGTTTTATTTGATTACTGGATGGAATTTTTAATCTTTGTCTAGAAAAGAATCATGTCAAATTAATAAAGGGAAATTCGATGATTATTTGATGCAGCTGAGATCAGTCATTCATTGTCTCCACCAGTAGTAGCATATATACCATTAGGAATACCAAACGTGGATATAAATATAATTGAAATTTTTTATTCTAATATTTGCTATCATATACAATCTTTGAATTTATTTAATATACACCCCCACACTCACAACCCAACCTTTTTGTAAAAATATATTTTTTAATTCTATATATATAAAATTACAAATTAAGAGAATTAATAAAGTAATTATTAATAATTACTGCTATATATTATATATATTATATATATAATCAAACTCGAATTCACACTCGTGCCATGGTGTTTCAACCCAAGGAACGGAAGGTTCTTTCATCATTCGATAAGTAAAGCTATTCTCCAGAAAATTTTCATTCCACAGATTGTTCTTGAGGTTTATTTTTTTCAATTCTTCAAAATCGTTGATAGTATTTTTTTTATTTGATGAGGAGGTTGGAAATCCGCCGATAATATCTCCAGCAGGAATGATATTAGTTTCTCTATTATCAAAGTCTATATTATTGCCATTTAAGATATGATTTTTTGCATTTTCGTCTTTTGTTGAAAAATAATAATAATAATAAATAAAAATATTCGTTTGATAAAATATATTTATATATTTATATTAATAAATCTTTACCCAGTTCTTCGTTATCAACAATAATATTATCACGGCCAGGGCATGATAATGGACATTTACGTTTGCTCTTCTTATGACGTTCACAAGAATTTGGATTGTGCTTTCCTCTACTACCTTTTTTTTTTTTTTCCCTTGTCATTTTTATGAAATTTGACAAAATAATAATAAAATAAAAATAAAATGGGAATTGATTTTCATTTTATTTGCGGAAATAAAAATTGTGTGATATCATTAATTTTTATGTGATATATCCAAAGAAATAAAATAGCAAGGAGATCAAAGCATTATTCATTATTATTGAAGTATTGAAGTAATCAGTAAGAAAGAAGAGAAAAGTATGAAATTAGAAGCATCCTTTTAAAAAAATAATAAAACAGCAAGGAATTGTAGCGTTTTAACCAAATTTAGAAATTCGATCGTGTCATATATAGCATTGCTGTGTCGATCAAATTTAAATCTAGACCGACGATTTGTATATAGCGAGTATCAGGTATTGTAAAATGAGAAAGTTCCGCTTAGACAAGTCACGCGATATCACAAAATAAATGTATATACCTAAAATTTAACAAGATAATTAGTTCTATTAATCTTTTTCTTTCCAGGGCAGATGGTCATGTTTCAAGGGCAAAATTCAGCTTGAACTTTATTTGTACTAATGAATGATTCTTTTCGATAGGTTAATCTCAATGACAAGACTGCCCCGTACGTGCAGATTTTTATAAAGAACATTATTAGTTTAGAAACTGTACCCATTTTACTTGATAAATCTTGGTTTTTTCAGAACATAATGTTTTGTTTGAATTCAAATTTCGTGCGACTTAATTTTTTAAACAACCAATGAGAGGATTTTTGATCATATGCTATTACTATCGTATATAAAATTGGTAAATTTTTTTACGAGATATTTAAAAACGTATCAATTGTGTGCGTCTTAGGTCCCTTCTTGCTATTTATATTATTTGTATTTTAACTTTAGACAGACACCATCTATGATTCATTACTTAACTAAGAACTGAAGTTTCGCAAGAAAAATATTATTATTCGAAAATAGAAATCCTACTTGGCATGCAAATGCACCTTGCTGTTAAAAATCTTATGACGTATTATTATAAATAAAACAAAATGCATCTCACAAGTAATAATAATAACAAGACCACGCAAAAATGAAACTTGAGTAAAATAATGATTATATTATTTATCATATATAGTCAAGCTGAAATTTAATTCATCTCTTTTGAATTATAGTGGAACCAACCAGTCCACTAGTTTATTGAATATGCAAAAATTTGTCTTGTCGGTCAGAATCGATATCTTCTTTTACGGAAATGTACAAATACAAAAGAACTTTATGTTTTCCGTGTGTTTCTGTAAATCCAGAGCATGTTCCGTAAAAAAACGCGCTTATTCCATAGATGTCCTGCTTGGTAAAACAAAGACATACGGAAAAACTTACCGCTTTCCCGTACATTTTTGTGTGTTTTCTACGTAAGAATTTTATAGGGCTCTCGTAATATAAAGAGCAACTTTGTTTGGTAGAACCTGGTGGGTAGCCTTTTGAGGTACTTGAAAGTATTGATGTGAGCTGGCTAAGATGATAAAAAAAAATTTTCTCTTGACGTCTGGAATTTTACGTCTGGAATTTTAGTGCAGAATTCAGTGGCATAGACACTTAGTTGTTGAGATGGGTCCATATGCATTACTTGGAGTGACAAAAGAAAAAACATATATTTGCTCAAAAAAAATAATAATAATACAGTACTCGTAGCAGGATAATAGATAATAATAAAAAAAGCAATAATGATAGTTAGAGTTTCTATTCGTAATACAACTCAATCTCAATCCGAATTCGAATTGATTTTTTTATTCATTTGATTCGAATTATTCAAATAAACTTTCAATGTAACTCGAATACTCAAATTCATAACGAATAAGACAAATAATTCGGATAGAAACCCTAGTAATAGGAACCATTAAAGGTGGTGAATTAAGAGATATAATAATAACAATAACGGTAGTAGTAATATCGGAAAGAAATAGACTTGGGTAATAAAAATAATAATAAAATCAACCGATTTTTAGTGAATTCGTAAAGGGTATGTTATCTGTCTAGTAAATCATTTTGTCCAAGTTCTTAGCCGGCTAAGCTTTTTCTACCCGGCTAACATCACTACTTGAAAGCTGCAATATTGTTTTTCTTGCCTGGTCACCAAAAGCGTGCTTTAGGTAATTATCATATTAATATGATCGGAAATTTTACCCACCACTGGTCAGTGTCTATTAATAATTCTCCTTTGGATTCCAAATATTAATACATGTGAAAATATTTACTATATTCTTCAAATCAAATTTATGGTGAAAACTTTCATGGAATGTAAAAGATGTAAGATTGCTGAAATAAGAATACATCTCACACGAACTTTGCTAACATCAATGATCGCAAATTTATATGCATATTAAAAAGCTCAAAAAGCTTCGAATAGCGTAATAACTGATTATTATTAAACAAAAAGATTATTTATAATAAATATGTTAATAATTTGTAATTATACGCGCTATTAATGATATTAATTTTTTATCTGGGCATTTCTTTCAATAGACATTTCTATTTAACTTTTTCCAATAATATTTAGAGATTTATTGTCAAAAATAATTGATTTTACTTGAAAAATAGGCTTGTTTTTTATCCATTATAAATTCTTTACTCCCAAGAGATTTATGGTTAGTAAATTATTTAAATTATGACCTTTTAGTCTAATAAGTAAGTTTTGTTTATTCTTTTAAAGGACAGAATTACAAAATATAAATAAATAAATCAAGAATATGAATTATATAATAATAAATAAATAATTGGTCATTAAGATCACTATTGCTGTATTGATGATATTCTAGTAGTTGTTGCTATTGTCATCCAATAACAATTGATTCACAATGTTTTGGAGTTGGATTGCTATAAAAATTAACTGATCTTTTCTGTGATTATTAGTTGCGTCCAAATTGTTATTATTATTATTGACTGAATTCTGTCTAAAGAAATTATTGTCAACAGTGTTACGAAGAGTATTATGACCAACAAAATGATTATTGATAATACCCAAATGGCTAGTCAAATTATTGCTGGAGATATTGTTACTGATTGGATTTTGACGAGCGTTGTTCATATTATTGATTGAATTGTCTACAGTGTTATGGAGAGTATCATGATCAACGAAACTATTGTTGATCATAACCAAATGACTAGTCAAATCACGATTGGCTGAATTTTGACGAGCGTTGTTCATATTATTGATTGAATTATAACCAGAAATATTATTATTGTTGTCGACGGAATTATTGTTACTGATTGGATTTTGACGAGCGTTGTTCATATTATTGATTGAATTGTCTACAGAGTTATGGAGAGTATTATGACCAACGAAACTATTATTGGTCATGCCCAAGTGACTAGCCAAATCATGATTGGCGGGATTTTGACGAGTGCTGTTCATATTATTGATTGAATTATAACCAGCAATATTATTATTGTTGTCGACGGAATAATTGTGGTTGGAAATGTTCATAGGATTAACTGAGCTTTCGTTAGGAGTAATAGTATCAGAGGGATGGACATAACCGTTAATTTGGTTAATTTGGTTACCAAGATGATGATTATTATTATTCATGATTTGTTTTTAGTTTTTATTAATTAATTATTTGGATTTTTGAATTCTTTTTTCACCGATTTTTTTCTCTATATTTATAACAGGTATCAACCAATCAGATAATAAAACAATTATTTTGTGCATCATATAAATATAAACACATCATTGATTTTAAATACGCATATTAAAATAAGGTATCTATTTTTATTTATTACCATTTAAGGGACGTTTTAGATTTTTATTTTTGAGTATCTTCCATTTTTGTTTTTTGATTAATAATTATTTGAAGTTTTGAATTCTTCTTTCGCAAAAAAAATTTTTCTACAAGGAGAAAAGAATATTAATTATTATTAATATTATCATTATATTGTATATTCAAAGCCTTTAACAAAGCGATCAAGTGATGATTTAATAAACATTATTGGGGCACTTTGTGTAACTAGTTATACATCAAAAAAAATTTTTGCCTAAAATATATTAACAATGAGTGTAACAATGAAATTAAACTTTAAAATTTTTTACAAAGTTTATTATGATTTATATTGAAAAAAACTTTCAATAATAAATGAATCATCGTCATCATCTTATTAATTTACATTGTCAAAAAATCGTAAAGAACCACGGGCCAACATAAATTACTGAATGTGATGAAGTAATCAAAGATAATAGAAACGAATTAATAAAAGAATCATTTTAAAAAATTTAACCGATAAGTTTTATTGTTCATGACTCAAGCTTCAAAACTTATCGGCTGGTTTTTTCTTAAAATTGGCATTTTGAAAATTCTGAGTAAATTTCGTGCAACAATTTTTTTTCATAGAATATTTTCTACAACATACATTTGATTTATTTGATTTATTTATTTCCTTTTTTTTTTATAAAAACAGTGAGGAAAAGTTCCCGAGGAAATTCATTCTTTAATGAGAAGATTTGTCAGAGATAATTATCAAAGTAATTTTACAACAAAAAAGCTATTACATTAAAAAAAATCATTACCAAATTTGGTAGTGAGAATAATTACAGTATTTAGAAATTCATAATATATGGCATAAATTTGGAATCACACGATTCAACACGAAAATTATTGTTGTATTTCTGAGCATACAGTAACTTTCAAATTTAAGAAAAGAAAATGAGACTAATTTTTTTTTTTAGATTAATAGACTCCCCTTTTAAAGCTGAATTGAATGGTGGTGGGTTTTTTAAAATCCAATGTGTGGAACACATAATATTTCAAAAATTTTAACTTTTGAGTATAGATGATCCGCACTGTATTGTTTGGAGGGGAAGTTAATTTTATGGAAAATGAGGACATTTATTTATTTATTTTTAATAGTTGTTAGTTTATATATAGTTTATTTTTATGATCAAGGGTTATTAAAACTTATTCACAAACGGAATTTTTTTAATTTGTTATTATTATACTATTTTTGAAATAATGCAAAAAAAAATTAATCTAATTTATTTTTTGTATAAAGTAGAAATAAAAAATAAGAACAAGATTTTTAAGTTGAATGTCGCAGTGAGTGAGTAGCATATATAAAGTCACATACATCAAATTTCTTTGTTTTATTTATGGGTTGAATTGGTGGTGTTAGCCAGCCAAGAATTTAAATAAATCCCAGTTGATGAGAAAACTTTTCAGATGGTACTAAGCTTGCCAGTATTATTATTATTGCCATTATTTGCTATTTTTATTATATTTTGACATTATTACTATTTGATGGTTCAAATAAGGTTTATTCGAATTACATTGAAGTTTATTCAAATAAATGAATGAAATGAATGAAACGAATAAAAAACAACGAATATAATAATAATTATTATTATTCAGAGTGAATGTCATTCAAATTCATAAAACCAAGTGTTGGTTTGATTGCTATATTTCTCAGAATTGCTGGCATCATTAGAATCATTTGGTTCACTTGATTCACTGATGGCTAATCTCTCATATTTGTATATTTGTCATAATGTCATTGCTATTATCTACTCCCTTTATAAAATAAATAAAATATACCATTTTTAATTAATTTATAAGATACAAACTTATATAAAAAATAATAAACATACTTTGAACTTTTGCATCCTCATAACAACATGCTTGTCTTTCATATCTGTTCCATATTTAGGATCTAGAAGTAAAGTTACAACTGTCATTGCAAAATAGGATGAGCTCTGAGATGGAATACCAGCTGGCCATATTTTTGACATAATTTCAGCAATATATGTATTATTGTTATTATTTTCCATTGTTTTAAACAAGTTTTTTCTACACCATTCAGTTTTTGAGGAAGTTTTCCATTCTTTTAATTCTTTTATTGAAGATCATCTTTTCCAAATATAGTAAACAGCATTTTTTTATTCATTGTACAAGAGATCCATGAGCTGTTCTCATTGCAGTTTGTCCCTATAAACACATATTAATATATCAATATAAAAAAAAAAAAGCAGAACTATATAATATTAAACATATTAAGACATAAATATATTGATCATAGTAATTACATATTTTAGCAAAATATTTTTCCATAACTTTTCGAATTGCTGGGTGTTTTTTTTTTGAGTCATATTGCTCATTTTTAATACTAATGAAATAATCTTTAAAGTTTCATTTGGATAAATATATCCATTTTCCAAGAGTTTTCTAGTAGCAGACTTCCAAACTTCCTATATTTATTCAAATGTTTTAAATCCAATACCAATTATGAAAAAAAAATATATATAAATGAGTTCACCTTATACCACTTATTGTCATTTTCTTTAATTCCTTTAATTAATTTGATAATTTAGTATAATTTGAATCTAATTTTTTTACAATTTTATTAGTCTCAACCAGTAATTTAGTATTTTTTCAATCAATACTGCCTATTAAAAAATAGTAAAATTATATGGTAACCTATTATTGTTAAATCTTTCATGCATTAAGAAGGATATATATATACCATTGCTATAACTACTATTTGATTCCAAATAATCATTATTGACATCAGCAGTCAAGGAGTGTTGTTGGTGGTAAATTAGTTTGATTGTAGAAGTTAATACATATGCCCATATGATAATAGCCAGCCTGGTCTGAGGGAAGTTTTGTCCAAAGCCTACAAACACATTTTCACCTTGCTTATAGAAAAATTCTATGGTTATGAGGAGATGTGAAAGCATCCTGTTGATTTGTTTGTGATAGGAAAATTTTAATTAAATCTGACACCTGTGGTAAACATCAGGTTTTATTCATTATTGTGAACCCCAGAGATCTGGGTAGACATGCATTATTAAAAGTTTTATTACTGCATGACCTTGGTATTATTACTATTAACATCATCAAATGTATTGAATAATAATCATGACCATCATGAATATTTAATGGATGGAGGCATTCACATATAAGGAAAAGATTAAATAGCTGAGGCCACGTTTATTTGTTTGTTTGTTTTATTAAAATATATAATTAATTATATTTAAAATATACAATAAAAAAATTGATTTGTAAAACTAAAACTTATATAAAATACATATATAAGAACGGTTGAAGTTTTTTGTGCAAATAATTTCCTTATTTGTATTCCTTTGTCAATATTTACAAGACTTCCAGGCTTACATACATACTTAACTTAATATTAATGCTAAATAATTCGAATTAAGTTTTATTATTATTATTACATATGTAAACTCGATAAGTCGGTCATGTGGGGTGAGCTCATATGACCGACTTATCAAGTAAACCGACTTATCGAATTAAATTACTTAAATATTAAGAAAATGGGGCGAAAATTTTGGCCGACTTATCGAGTAAACCGACTTATCGAGTGACCGACTTATCGAGCTTACATATGTAGTATTAGTATTAGTATTAGTATTAGTATTAGATTGATACGAATAATTCAAATAAAAATTTGTATTACGAAACTTTAACCATTTTTTTAATCCTGCTATGAATACTGTAAATTTTTTTTGAGCAAATGTATGTTTTTTTGTCATTCAAAGCAATGCATATGGACCCATTTCAACTATAAACATGAATGTCAAGTGAAATTTTTTTTTAATCATCTTAGCTGGCTCACATCACTAGAATGAATCCAGCGACGGATTTATTTTATTTTTTACTGTTTTGTTAAATTTTCTAATGAGGGAGCTCGGCTCATCGAAACATATACTTGTTCCTTAGCAAATATGTTCCCATCAACATTCAACGTTACGTGCGGTAAGATTAACACTTGTATCTTGTGAATGGTCAAGAAAAAGCATTTTGGAAGAGGAATTGTTTCCTCGATACTCTCTTACCAACAATTTCGAAAAGACATGTTTCTTTCTGAACAATGATTTACTGATGCTGGTCAAGGTAGGGAAGGTCACTTGGACATTTTCTTCGTCACAAATTTTTGTGACTATTCCTATTCAAATGGTTTCATTACATACGTTGTCATTGAAAAACTTATTGTTAAGAGCGCCCTCTTGCAGGTATAGTTTGGAGGGAGTTTTGTTAACTTGAATTGATAAACCTTATTCGAATGGACACCATATACTGTCTATAACGATCTCTCTCTATAATGATTTTTTTTTTGCTGAAACAAGAGGGATGTTACAGAAAGAGTGAACTGTACTTTATTTTTTATTATATCAAGAATTTCCAAAGAGGAAGAATACACCTTTTACATAGCTTTCAAATTTTTCTTTAAATTAAAACAAACAAAATAAAAATTAGATCATGGGTTTCAAAATTGAACCCGGTATGCTAATTAAAGTTTTATTTGAAAATAATAATGCTTTTTTTTACAAATACGCAAAAATTTATTTTTTACAACCAATCAATGTTGGTGATGTTGCCTCTGTTAATGAGCGACTTGGATTCTTGAATTTCTTTTTAGCTACTGCTTACGACAATGTAGACATAGACACAAATGAATATTCCAGAAACTATCCTGAAAATATGAAATTGGTATATTTTTTTTTTACATTTTTCTTTTTGTATTTTACAAGTTAACTCAGGGAAACAATAATAATACTTGAAAAATTCGGATTTTCCTTTAAAAATTCCAAAAAAAAGAATTGCCAGGTTTCCTTTTTTATAAAAATTTTAAATGAAAAAAGTCTTGGAAATTTTTAATAATAACTTTAACCAATGAAGTACCAAGCGTGGATTTTTCTAATTTATTAGGCCTATAACTGCATTTACTAGTTTGGAATTAATTAAGCTAAGTCGAGGCTCATTGTATATACTATGATTCGAATAGTGAAACTGCATTGTGCGAACACATGCTAATTTCTACTATTCTATTCGCTATGCAGGATAATAATAAATAAGGTTCGACTCTGTGCTATAATAGTAACCGGAAAATAATTTTTTTTCATTTAACAAAATGTCAACAACTTGCTTTTCATCATTAGAAAACTTAAACTTATTATTTAACTACCTGATCAATTCCAACAACAATGCTCTTCCATTAAAATATGTTGGAAGACTTGTAAATGACTTGGCAAAGTTATTGAATCAGCCTGAATCTTATGATTTAGAAATTAATGTTGGAGCAGATGATAATGTTAGGACTTTTAGAGCTCATTCTAGCATTTTAAAAGCAAGGTCTTCATATTTTAAAACTGCTTTATCAAACAATTGGATAAAAAAACCTGATAATGATATTATTTTATTTGAAAAAAAAAACATTTCTCCAAAAGTATTTGAAATTTTTTTAACGTAAGTTTATTTAATTTTTTATTTAATCAATTAATTGAATGATCACTATAATAATTTAAGTTACTTTATTTTATTTATAGATATATTTACAGTGGAATTCTTAACATAGATAATCTGGATGGAAATGAAATTTTCGAACTTCTTGAAGCATGTGATGAATTCAACTTTAGCGAATTAATTGATGACTTACAATACTATTTGATTAAAAAAAAAAAAGAATGGATTCACCAAAATTTAATTTATGCTCATAAAATTTCATCATGTCATCAATCATTCACCTTGCTTCACGATTATTGTTATCAGATGATTGATAAAAATCCAGGATTAATTTTTAAATCAAATGATATTATGACAATTGAAAAACCCATGCTTCTAACTATGTTAGAGAGAGATGACTTAGAATTAGATGAAATTGATGTTTGGAATATTGTCATTCGATGGGGAAAACATGACAATAAAAGTCTGGACAAAGACATTTCAAAGTGGAATAAAGATGATTTCACTGCGTTAAAAAATAAAATGGAAGATATTATTCCTTTGATAAGATTCAACCAAATCTCTCCAAGTGATTTTTCTCGTAATATTCTACCATTTGAAAAAATCTTTGATAAAAAATTGTACAAGAAAGTTCTTCTATACTATTTTAATGATGACTTGGAACCAAATCTATTACCTCAAAAGGGTCCAAGAACAAAAACAAAAATTGGGACAATCATTAAAAAAAAACCAGAACATTTATTAGATTTGCAAATGACAACTCTAATTTCAACTTGGATTAATCGCAAAATTAAAGAATACAAAATGCCTTATGATTTTGAATTGATTTTTCGGGGTACTAAAAATGGATTCTCTAGATCTGCATTTGAGGAGAAATGTTATAATATTGAACAAACTGTGTTCGTTATGAAAATTCAAAATACTGGAGAATTGATTGGTGGTTATAATCCAGTTGGATGGAATATAAAAGAAAGGTCTCCAAATGATCGATATTTTATTGAAACAGATAAAAGTTTCATTTTCAAAATCGATGAAAATCAGATAAATAACTCAAAATTAAGTAAAATTAAAAAACCAGGATATGCAATGTTTCATAATGAACGAGAGATTGCTGAAACTATTGATAGTGTAAAATTTCATGAAATTTCTATAAATTTTTGTGATTTACGTCTATATTATAGTAATAAACCTTATTGTTATTATAATCATAAATCTCCTTCTTATAAAAGTGATTTAAATTTTAAAAATAAATATAAGATGATTCATTTGGTAGGAGAATGTGAAGTTTATCGAATATCAAAAAAAAAATAATTTACTACATTGTATTTATGTATTTATATATTTATGAATTATATATAGTATTAGCTGACAAAATTTTTATTGAAGATATATATAATAATAATAAATTTTTTTTGTTTTTTTACAAAACGTTAACTTTGCTTTTCATCATTAGAACTTGTTAGTTAACGACTTTATCATTTCCAACAATACATTACCATTAAATATACTAGTGAACTTGTAAGTGATTTATTGTATCATATAGAAGTCCAAGTTGGAGTGGATAAAGATGTTATGACTTTTAAGACTCATTTTACTATTTTAAAAGCAAGGTCTTCATATTTTGAAGCTGCTTTATCAAACAACTGTATAAAAAAATCTTGACAATGGTATTATTTTTCAAATGTATTTGAAGTTCTTTTAATGTAAGGTTATTATTTTATTTTGTTTGGTTTCCTCTGACAGACGCTTCCCCAACACTGATTACTGACAGGACGTTATATCGGCAAGATGTTTTCTAATACATCCTATCAGTTTAGCATAACATTTCTTTTATTTTCCTGCCATAACTATATCATGTCAGGTAATGTTAGCCGATTAGCTGGCTAATCTGTTTAAGTCTATTAAGTCTGCTAAGCCTTTTAAGCCTGTTAAACCATTTATTAGCCAGCTAATTGGCTAACATCACATATATGTCATTAATGAATAATTATAATGGTAATGACATGATATAGTTATGGTAGGAAAATAAAAGAAATATTATGTTAAACTGATAGAATGTATTAAAAAATGTCTCGGGGAGGGAGAAACGTTCTGTTGAGGAAACAAACGTCTTGGAAGGGAAACAGTTATTGGGGAACCACATATACAATGAATGTTTTTACATGGATTAGCCATTAGGTCTTAATATTAATATTAATCTAAAAAAATAATAATAATAGTACAGTCAAGTGAAATGCAATTAGCATTAGTAATTTTGGCATAACGAATTTTAAAATTTTTTCTCATGTATCTTGATTATAGATAGTAATGATTAAACTAATATTACTCAAAATGCTTTGTGCATTCTTTTCTAGTAATTTTGTATGAGCTTTTTATAACCATTGGACATTGGAGTACGGCAATGAGTTTATTTGATTCAAGCAAGTTTTTCATAAAATTCATGGGTAGATCTTGGTTGCATTTGTCTGTTTTGATAATAATAATAGTATGACAATGAATAATTAGGATACGATCCATGGAGTGAAGGTTTTTCTGGTGATTCATTTGTTAAAACACTTGATTATATAGATTTATATTATTTATCTAGATATACGGTATGTGCGCTTGAGATCATCATCTTAAAATGAGATGAATTGCCAAACTGACAATATTTTGTTAACAAAAAACAAATAGTATTATAGTATAAGATGCTTTAGCAAAATTAGAAAAGATAACTCAACTCCGATTCATCACCCAAAAAAAGAAAATTATCATATGACCGTATATATATATTAATATCCACCAGGATATTAAGTAAATTCGTGTGACCATCTTCTATGTCACGTGTCCAACAATCAACAAAATCTAAATTTTGAAAATTTTTTATGATAATAGAAATAATGTTAGCATTAAGATTAAGATTATCGTTGTCCAAAACTTTTCATCAACAAGTTCAACAAAATTTATCAAAAACATATAGGTTTGCTTCTACAACAACAAATTCATTGAATTCAACAACAAAAGTTTGTTCAACTATTTATTATTTTATATATTATACATGTAAAAATTTATAATTTATTGCTAAATGAATAATAAATGAATAGGTTTCAAATGTATTATCAACATCATCAAATATAAATAACAATGTTGCAAAAATAACTACTCTGCCAAATGGTGTACGTGTTACAACTCAAAATATACCTGGTCACTTTTCAGCAGTTGGAGTATATGTTGATACAGGTTCAAGATATGAAACTGAAAAAAATATCGGTGTGTGTCATTTTATAGATCGATTAGCTTTCAAGGTATTTATATATATGTATGTATATATGTATATGTAGAAAGAACAGCAATAAATAATAATGTAATTAATCATTTTTTTATTTTTTAGAGTACAGAAAACCGATCAGAAGAAAAAATGATTGAAACAATGGAATCATTAGGATCTAATATAATGTGTGGAAGTAATCGTGAAGCAATTACATATCAATCAGCAATTTTTCCACAAGATTTATCAAAAGTGATATCATTATTTGCTGATGTTATTCGTAACCCACTAATTTCTCAAAATGAAGTTATTGAACAACAACAATCAATATTATATGAAATCAATGAAGTAAATCAAAAGCCTGATATATCATTAGGTGAGATACTTCATATTGTTGGTTATAAAAACAATACATTGGGTAATCCTATTCTATGTCCTGAGGAAAGATTATACCAGATAACTCCTAATTTAATTAAAGAGTTTATGTCAACTTGGTATGTACCAGAACGAATTGTTGTTGCTGCAATTGGTGCAGATCATGATGAAGTTGTTGATTTGGTTTATAAAAATTTTGGTGATATGAAAAAATCTACTGTTGATTTATCTCTAGAAAATAATAACTCACTTAATCTAAATACACCACCCCCTTCAACATTACCACCAACACCAATACCTTCAAATTATAATAAGCAACCATCATTATACAAAACAATATCAACTTTAGCTTCATCATTTTTAAAACCAAAGGATCCTTCTTCTATTCCACCATCTTTTCAGGATCAACAACAACAACAACAATTATCACAACCACTTTTGATACAAAAATCACATTATACAGGTGGTTTAGGTGGTGTAGTTGAACAATCATCTGATAAAACTCATGTCCAACTAGCTTTTGAAGGATTGTCTGTACATGATCCAGACATTTATGCACTGGCAATACTCCAATCACTTTTAGGTGGAGGTGGTTCATTTTCAGCAGGTGGACCTGGTAAAGGAATGTACACTCGATTATTTACTAGTGTATTAAATCAATACTCTTGGATGGAATCATGTGTGTGCTTTAATCATTGTTATACAGATTCTGGTTTATTTGGTATAGTGGCTTCATGTGATTCAGAATATAGTTCAATTTTATTGGAGGTTTTAGGTCAACAATTTGATACTTTAACTACTTTTGATGGTTATAATTCTATTACAAATGCAGAATTATTTCGTGCAAAGAATCAGTTGAAAAGCAATTTGTTAATGAGTTTAGAGTCTAGAATGGTGCAATTAGAAGATTTAGGAAGACAGGTTACTGTTTTTCTAAGAAATTATATATTATTACTATTGTTACAGTAAATTGTTAATTAATTAATTTTTTATTATTATTAATATAGGTTCAAGTATTTGGCAAAAAAATTCCAATTGAAGAAATGTGTCAAAAAATAGACAATCTTACATTAAGTGATGTTATTCGTGTCGCAAGAAGAATTATTAGAGGTCAAGTATATAATGAAGGGAATGGTTCTGGTGAGGTGACATTAGTTTTCCATGATAAAAAACAATTATTTGATTTACCTGAAGTTTTAAAATTATGTGAGAAATATGGTCTTGGTAGATATTATGGTAGCAATTCAAAAAAAAATTAATCTTTGTATAGGAAATTTTTGTAATAATAATATTTTTAAATATATGTACACGGACAAAGAGCTATATATATAGCGCATGTTTAATAAAAATTAATTGCACGAAAATATACTTTATAATAATCAAACAAAACTGTCATTTTGTAGCTTAGGCTGACCAAATTATGCATGCAAATTTTCATATATATCTCTAAATAGAGACATCTTGATAAAATATCTATAGAAATTACCGTTGCCGAGTCAAAATGTTAGCCTTAACACGGTGAAAATAATGTACCCAATTATAAAATATATATTGAGCATTTATGGTCAGAGTTGGAAAGGAGAATAAGGAAACGCCCAAAAAATATGAAAAATTACAAATGACGCTTGATTGAAAGCAGGCCAAGCAGAATTGGAGCGGCCTTAATTAATTGTTGTAAAATTTCAGATATTGTGATCATTTTTTGTCAAAAATTTTTTATTTTTGTTTTAGAATAAAAATGTCAGATAGATAAATATGAAACTTTGCACATATAATTCGGTGAACCTAAATTACAAATGACGGGCGAATGTAAAACCTAGAAAAATATTCCATCGCATTCAGTGAAGACATGTAGAAGTCATCAAGCCCAATTATTTGATGGAAAGTCATTGGGACCATGAGCATAATAAACACGAAACAACGATAACAATAATGACAACAGCAATAATAATATCCAGGAATTTGCAATAAACCACAAAGTCATTCTGACTATAAAGAATACCCTTAAATGTTCCTATTCCTTCCAATAGAATTTAAATTTTTAATATTAAAAAAAAATAACTTTACATTAGGAATACCATGTAGCATGGGCATGACTGACTATGCCTTTTACTTCATTTGATTCATTTATGAGACATTAATGTGTACGTATAATGAACACACAGAAGTTTGAAATTTATTGTATAAATTTTACTAAGGAATATTCGGAAAAATTAAGAAAATTCAAGAATCCAAATAAAGGTTGAAAATTTATCATGTATGTATATAACAAACACCAAAATTACCCATTTGTTAAATACTTTTGAATTTCTTTAAAGAATTTTTTTTCTCTTTTAAAAGATGATGTGATGTTTGAAGAACAATTGGTTGACATATTCACATTGGTACACCCAATGTGTAAATTATTATTAAAACCTTTATGAATTAGACTAGCAAGCCAAACTATATATATATAACAGATCAAATCAATAGATCAACCAAATGCTATTAAGTTTCAATTTATGATTAAATTACATTTTAATCTATTTAATTAAAAAAAAATAAAAAGGAAAATACATAAAAGTATTTTTTTCCTACGCTTGATGCCATTTAAATTAATTAAAATTAAAATTATAAATATTTACAGTATATATATGTGTGTGTAAAGTGTGTGTGTGCATGGGTGTGTAAAGAATTATTTATTTATTTTATTTATTAGAATAACATTCCATCAAGACCTCCTTCAGCAGCTTGTTCCTGTATAATCAAAAAAAATTTAATGTAAATAAATAAATTTTATGAAAAAAAAAAAAATTTATTTGTACATACCTTGACAAACATTTCAAAATACGAGTATATGATAGTGGTTGCTAATAATATACCTGTACCTGATCCAAGAGCACCTTTTATAACATAAATGTATATAATTAAACATATATATTAATTAATTCATTGCCTTACATATTTAAAAATTAAATAAAACAGCCGAATTATTTACCAAGTAGATCGGCACTAACAGATAAAGCTCCAATACAAGCACCACCAAAAGCAGCAGCAATAGGAATGATACGTTTTAATTCTTTGTACATTGATGATTCACGATACCCAACAATCACCATACCTTGTTCTTTAAGTTGCTTAGCTACATCACGTGGTGAAGATCCCGAAATTTCAATCCAAGTTTTGGAGAAAAGCGCACATGCTGATAGCATGAAAACAATATAAATTACTGTGTGTATTGGATCTTTGATGGCATCAATTATACTTTGTGGTGGTGATATGAAATATGCAAGGCCACCTGATGCAAACAGTTGTGAGGATCCTTCAAATGGCTATAATAAATTATGAACAATTAATATATGTATATGTATGTGTATGTGTATTTTTTATGTATTTACAATAAATTTTTTGTATGGAAAAAAAAACTTACAGTCCAAACACCTAAAAGTCTAACAAGAAAGTTATCAGGAAATCGATTATACAACATTTGTGAAATCAAGAAAACATTAGAGGTAAGAGCAGATTGAAGCATGATAGGCATGTTTGAAGTGTAAAACAACTTTATAGGGTAAGCTCCATATTGACCACGAAAACGATTTGATTTGACAGGAATTTCAACACGAAAACCTTGAAGATAGATGACAATAGCAAAAACGACCACAGTTGATATTAAATTCATGACATTTGGTAAATTTGTTCTATAGAATGCTTCTTTCAGTGCACGAGTTTTATCGTTACGAGTGAAAAGTAGATAGATCAATGCAACCAAAGCTCCTTCAAATTCAGGACCACGACCTGTATTAAGAGTTGTTGGACTAAATGCTTTCCAAACTATTGATTCGCAAATATTTGTAGCAATAAAAAGTGAAATTCCAGATCCCAAACCATAACCTTTTTGAAGTAGTTCATCCAACAACATAGAGATGAGACCAGCAAAAACTAATTGAATGACAAGTAACAGACAAACCCCAGCTCCAATTTCTGATGGGTTACCATATAACCCAGTCATTACAGATACAGTAGCTTGACCAAAAGCAAAAACCATCGCAAAAAGTTTCTGAGCACCACTAAATAGTGCTCTATCTTCTTTCAAATTGAAATCGACATCAATCAAATTTGCCCCAGCTAAAAGTTGCATGATCATTCCTGATGTTACAATAGGTGTTATACCCAACTCCATCAATGTACCTCTGTTAGAAGCAAGAATCACACGCAACCAGTATAAAGGATCGGATGAATCAGATGACATTATGCCATATAATGGAATTTGCGAACACACCAAAAAAATAAGGAGTGTAACAGCTGTCCACAAGATTTTTTGGCGAAAGGGTATCTTTAAAATTTTTTTAAAAAATTATTCAATTGCTCAATTATTCATTGAAATTTTGAAAAATATGATTAATTATTTTAATTAACTACCAACCTTTCTTTCAGGAGCTGTAACCTCCGGAAGTACGGACATAAAAGGTCTGATGAGATTTAAAAAGCGGACTACAAAAACATTTTGTTTAAATATTTTAATAAAATCTCTAAACAAAAAATAAAATAAATATAATGCTTACAGCTCATTGTTGTATGATTTGGGAAAAATTTTGTGAAATAAAATTTTTCTCAGCAATAAATTATATACGGGTTTAATTTTTTTTTTCTCTATTAAAAACATTGATTTATTGAGCCAATCAATCAATGCCACAATTGTATTACCAAATAATCAAGTTTTATCAGAAATGGTGTCAATATTGAAATGACTCCATAATTTTGGTGTTCAATAATTTTGAATTTATAAAAGGGACCCATTAAATATCATTCTAAACTAGATTAGATTGATTTTTCCAGCATTGATGTATTTCGAAGTGAAGAAAAAATCATTTATCATCATACAACGTTATACAAGATGGTCGAAAAATAAAAATACCACTGCGCCAAGTGTTTCATAGCATCACAATAACAAAAATACACGATTCAATTGATTCAATCATTTATTACATATAACAGGAGAGACCGTTCTGATAACACAAAATTTTAACCCACGCAATTGTTGATCGACCAATCAAAATCGTGAATTTGATAACGTAAAAATAAACGTTAACATAAAA